TTACCTAGTTTGGCGGTCGAAAATTGCTCCGGTGCGGCGGCGGGTGGTGACGGCCGGCTCGTTGGCGGCTGGATTGTCTTCTCCAGCGACGATCTCTGGCGGCTAGGGTTAGGGTTTGGGTGCGGACGAGGTTATTTATACCCGTCCACTTTTAATCTGGACCGTCTGATCGTGATTAAATAGGGTGTGAATCTGGACCGTTCATTGCGATTCAATCTGGACCGTCCGTGCGCGCGAGAACGGATGTCAGCCATTCGATCTCGCGCACGCGGATTGCCCACATGGTTCATCCGGTGTGGCCTCCCGCATCAGCGCCTCTGCCACCTACCGCGTCCTAGTTTGTCGGGGCATCTGATATGGCGTAATTTTTTTAAATTATATTTTGACTTCCGGTTTCTGATTTTTCTTTCAAAAATACTCTAAGAACCCAAATTTTCTCCCATTTTTTCCAAAATTATTTTCAATTAATCCTTAACTAATTTTTCACCTTTTTTATTATTATTATTATTGTTATTTTCATTAAATCAAATTAAATTCAATTCAATTTAATTCAATTCAATTCAATTAATAAATAATTATATTTATAAAAAAATAAAATAAAAATAGAAAAAATAAATGTTGGGTGTTATATTACATTCCTTACACAATAACTTAAAGTACCAAATAGTGCTACGGGAATGAACATTTTAAAGGAAATAAATGAAAAATAAATAAAACTGACATCTTACTCGCAACCCTCTTATGGATCAGACTTTGGATCTTGGTTCTCTTTATCTTAAATGGTTAATAAAGGAATGAGCTACACTAACTAGTAATAATATCACACTACTCACCAACATAGAAATGAAGGATGGTAGAAAATCAAAATAACTAATTGAGTTTTTAATTAAACAAATTTATTTATCATAAACAAAATCGTTTACCGTCTACTCACCATAGCGAGATTTACAAAAATAACATGTAGAGTCAATAACATAACACATATCATGATTTCATATGCAATCGGTTGGAACAACAAATTATCTCTTTTATCAGCCTATTAGTATCCATTTAGGTTCATAGGGATGTCCCCGCAACATGTGAATCATTTTCTTTAACATTTTCAATTAATGGACTGTCCCCACACCCAGTCCGGTATGAGCACCAAATTAGTAAATCTTAATACCTCATCCGATATTTGGGTGAAACGGGTTGTCTGCATACCCTGTCTGGTATGAGCGCCAAATTACCAAACCTTTATACCTCGTTCGGTATGTGGCACATTCACGATAGATTTCTCTATATACCCGGTACGTCCACCATCTCCCAGGATATCCAAGAAAGCTGTCGTTTCATCCATTCACATAATCACACAATTTCTCGTTTACCTTTAATCTCCAGTTTCTCAATTCAACCGTAAACACATGTAACAAACAATACATGCATTCAAAACTATAAAATCAATCAATCAAATACTATCCTGCATTCAAACTATAAAATCAATCAACAGAATTGACAATGAATAATTTTCGGTTCTATCTCCATTAGTAACACGTAATTAATTATGAATATTTTTAAAATTGCACAAAATACCTTATTATTATTAATTTAACTTCAATTTAATAACAGAGAATAGAGTGAGGGATTTTTACTCAAATTAATGACCGAAAAGCTAAACTTATTGACTGCGCCTACTGACAGTCCCTAGATTTCCTGAATTTTTCTTCGGAGATTAAAACGCGCTACAAGTACCTACCAATATCCCAAAAAACTCAAAATCAGTGTCAGGACCTCTTTTCAGCCAATTTCAATGGCACAGCGGCTCCAGCATGCTTCGGCAACGGCACCGCCACCTGCGGTGGCAGTACTGGGCTTTGCCCGCTATTTTCGATCAATCCGCCGGTCCTTTCGCTATGATTTGGCCATGGAGATGTTTAAAATTGAATTCCGAGCAAAGAAATTTTTTTTTACCTCTATTCACAGTCAAAAGTGGCTCTGGCGCGGCGGCGGGTGGCAACGACTTCTATTCCTGACAGTTGGGTCTTCTTCTCCGACGAGGGTGTCTGGCGACTAAGGTTAAGGTTTGGTGTGAAGATGATTATTTATATCCGTTTTCTTTTAATCTGGACTGTCCATCGTGTTTGATTTGAAACGTCCGATCGTGATTGAATAGGGAGTGAATCTGGACCGTTTATCGCGATCTGATTTAGGTGGTCCGATCGCATTTAAATAGGAAGTGGATTTGGACCGCCCGTCGCATTTAAATCTGACCGTCCGATCGCGTTTAGGAAGGGAATGCATCCGGATCGTCCGTGCGTGTTGGGAGCGAATCTGAACCATTCAATCACGGGCACGCAGATGGCCAGTGTGGCCTCCCGCGTGGCACCGCGTTAGCATTCCTTGTCACGTGGCTCGCTCCGGTTCATCGGGGTTGCTGACTGGGCGTTCTACGTGGCACAACTTTCTTAAATTGTGTTTTGACCATCAGTTTCTTATTTTTCATTTAAAAATATCTGCAGAATCCAAATTTTCACTCATTTGTCCCAAAATTATTTTCAATTTAATTCTCTGCCTATTTTTTTATTTTTGTATTAAATTAAAATTCAAAAATTTTAAAAAGTATATTTATAAATTAATTTAAATTATATTAAAATTAATTTGAGTATTACAGTAAAAGTTATTCTCAATAAAATAAATTGTATAATATAATAATACTGAAACAATGACTATAAATTATTGGGAAAAAAAATTATTAGAAAGTAAGAAAATAAATGAGATGTTGACTGATAAAAACTTTCCAAATCATTAGTACTCAACAGTAGCAAAAATTATTAGATCTTGTGAAATCATTAGATTCACCTCCTTTTGTGTTGAATTTGACAATTAAAAAATGAGATTCAATTACCGATAAGTCTTTTCACCACCAAAAAACTCCAAGTCATCATGAATTAAATTTATTCTACAATCTTGCTTTATGATGAAATAAATTCTTATTCGGTTAGCCTTAAAGAAAAAGAAAAAGAATGGATCTATAAATACATATTCTATAAATTTCTCACATAATGTTAAAACATTTAATAATAGTATTCTATAAATAAAATAAAATAAATAATTTTAGGATTTAAACTATCACAAAAATAATAATAATTAGATTAAAAATTTGACGACTTTTGATGAAAAGGTACAATAACAATAAAAATAAAATTTAGTATCGAATAAGATAAGATAAAATAATATATTTAATAACTAATGCTTTAAATGTTATCAATATGTAACACAATATATAATTACTAAAACATCTTTTAATAATGTTCAATTAAACGTGTTTAAATTTAATTTGTTTTTAACTAATATATATATATATATTTAATTTTGATTACTAATTTCAATAAAATTTTAAATTATCCATAAATCCAAATAAAACCATAAGCAAAATAAAAAAATACAATAAAGAAGAGCCAAAAATGATGTGGATGTGAAAGATACTTAGGGTGGAGCCAAAAATGGTTGGGGGGGGGGGGGGGGATAAGGAAAAATAGATAAGGGCATTTTTAGTCTTTGAATATATTTTTAAAGCTAATAGATTGGGACAAATTTATTCCCAAAAAAAGAAAAGAAAATTGATATACTAATTTGTTTTTTGTATTTTCCTCCTGTTTAATTTTTTTTTTAATTTTCAGTAGTAAACATAAAATATTAACTTTTACCAAACCCTACATTTACACAATAATTACAAAAATAATTTTATTTAAACCAATGAAAAAACAAGCCATGGATATTCCATTTACCAAAAACTTTTAAATATTGGAAGTAAAAAAAAAGTCAGCACATTTATTTTAAATAAAAATATTTTTTTCAAAAAGTTTTTAAAAATAAAATAATTTTTAGGGATGAAAGCCAATTGATTTATTCACAAAATTATATCATTATTAGATTTCTAAATCATGCTTATAATTAATTATATTAATATTTAATTATCTTACTTAAATTATAATAGAATTTAAATTCCTCTATTTATATTTTTAGAAGAAACTTATTTTTTTTAAAAAAAAAAATAATAATACTAGGACACATGTCATCAATGACATGCAGCTCCCTCGGTCATACTTATATATATATATATATATATTTCTTTTAATTTGGCACATTGCCATCTGTTTTCAATATTTTATTTTTTAAATAAATTTCAATTGACAACTTATGTTATAAAAAGATAATGCATTTTTTAGGATGAAGTGTGAGATATAAAACTCCAATGTTTACAGCTAATTTATATTCATCAAGTCAATGCACATGTATTTCCATATACATAGATATAAAAATGCATACACTGAAAAGCTTAGAAAGTCCACTGAAAATGGATCCACTTTCCCACCATGTAAGATTCAGCAGTACACTAAAAAAACAAAACCATTTTGTAATATAAAACAAAGCAAATATTATATTATTATTTATTTTCCATCAATCAGCACGTATGACAAATTTAACCAATTTATTATTATTTTATTTAATCTCCGCGTACGAAGTATAAACCCTTTTGTACAGCCTTGACCGTCGATCACTGATGGGGCCAGGAAGAGAAACATTACCAGGCGTTGATTGGGGCGAGTCACCAAAAGGAGGCCGAGGAGGAAATGTGCACATGGGGATTCCGTGTGTCGCGTCAGTAATCACGGAGATTACACCTTCGCTCCAGCTCATCACCTTTGTGTACTAAACATCTTTCCGCGGTCCAGTATTGAAACTCTAAATCCATCATCGTTAAATCCACGTGTCACGATCTTGTTTATCAGATTACACACTGGCATTACCTTTGATAACCAGTCAGCTGTTACATAGCAGATTTGCTGCCTCACGGACGCGGCAAAACACCCACTCTCTCTCCAACTTCCTCTTTTGTATACAAGTTTCCTTTTCTGTAATATTACTCACGCGTTTATTTTAGTAACAAAAAAAATATTATTTCGTGTAATTAATTATTATTATTTTTTAATAATTCTTTAAATACGCCATCAGTCTACGTTAGACCATTCAGTTACCGGTACACTATAAAAACAACATTCAAGTCTCTCTCTCCATCCCTATTTATCTCCACTCCACCATTGTT